GTGGCTACGTTTATTGCATGATTCACCAGCGAACTGCGTGATCATTACTTGGTACATGGTGTGGCCAGTCTACATTTATTGCACGATTCACTGGCTCATTGTGTGATCATTACTTTTCACCAATTCATGGTGTGGTCATTACTTTGCACGTGTAGCCAGCCTGCATTTATTGCGCGATTCACCAGCTCATCTTGTGATCATTACTTTACACGTGTGGCTGTTCTACATTTATTGCGCACTTTGCCAGCTCGTTGTGCGATCGTTACTTTGCACTGGTGGCCGGGCTAACTGGGGGCTGGGCTTACTGGGGAGAGTGGGGGGCAAAAGAGAAGCAAAGGCTGGGGAACAAGAAGGCATTAACCCCCCCCAACCAGCTGGTAAGAAACACTGCACATTTCCAGGCACAGAAGGTGGCGGTGGCAGAGAGTAGAGTCAGGGTCAATGAGGGACGGGACGACCCCAGCAAAATGCCTATCCAGCCTTCTCTTAAAGACCCCCAAGTAGAGGCGAGCACCACCTCCCTCGGGAGCCCGTTCCAAATTTTGGCAGCCCTAACCGTAAAGAAGTTTTTCCTGATGTCCAGCCTAAATCTGCTCTCTGCCAGTTTGTGCCCGTTGCTCCTTGTTACCCCAAGAGGCGCCTGGTGAACAGAGAGGATTGGGATAAATTCATGGACGGGTCTACTCACGGCTATTGAACAGGGCGGTCGGAGATGTTGCCCCCGGCATTTCTAACCCGCTGACCGCCCGGAAACAGAAGCCAGGTGACAACTGGGGTCCAGGTATAGTCCTAGGGATGCGGGGCTGGCAGGGACGCCCAGGGGTCACATTTAGTCCAGCCCTGACCTGAGGCAGGATCCGCCCCGTCCAAACCAGCCTAAACAAGCCCAGCGTCGAACCTCCGAGCAGCACGACTGTCAGCCCTGACGCCGCACCGGGCATCGCACCCAAGCCTGCTGCAGGGAAAGCAGGGGGCAAACGTCCTGCCGCTGCCAGGGGGGTCGTGGACACTAAAGAGACCCCTGGCGCAGGCCGTGCCCCCGCTTCAGAGGAAGGGGAAACCCCCCAGTGCGCACCGGTCTGAGCAGGGGGAAATCCCGTCCCTGCCCACAGGGGCAAGTTATCCAGGGATAAATGCAATTTGTGTGCGTGTGTGTGTGTGTCTGGTGGGGGTGGCATATGCATGCACGTGGGGAGGTGTGTATGTATGCATGTATAGGGGCAGTCCCCCAGATGCCTGGGTTCTGTGGGGGTGCGTGTGTGTGCGAGCGCACACGTGTGCACATGCACCCCCAGACATCTGGGTTGTGAGTGTGTGTGGTTGTGTGTGTGTTGTGCATACACGCGCAACCCAGACACCTGACGTGTGTGTGTGTGTACATGCACGCACGTGCACACACACATCCATGGTCACCAGCCCCTCCCCTCCCCTCCCCAGCCGTGCCAGCCTCTCGCCCCTTTCCCCACGTTACCACTTCCACATTTGCAGCTAGGAGGTTTTCTTTTCTTTTCTTTTCTTTTCTTTTCTTTTTTTTTTAATTAAAAACCGATTGATTTTTCCTTCTTCAAGACAGATTTCCCCCTTCCTCCCAGCCCTGCCGCCTGGCTCCACCGCCTCCTTCCTGTCCAACGGGTCGTGCATCTCAAGCCAGGGCCATTTTTAATCTGGAGAGTCTCTAATCGACAGAGGCGTGGCTGGAAAGTCACATTATTTCCCCCTTGCTACATCTGGCGACTGGGTGAGAGTCGCCCCCCGCTCAGTGATAACCCCGGAGATTTGCCTCCTCTGTGGTCAGTCAGATTTATTCCAACCCAGGCAGACAGAGACAGAGATTTTGAACCTAAATTAACCCACTGCTTTTAAACAAAGCCAAAAAAAATCCAAAAGCCGGCAGATTCCTGAATGATCTCAAGCGATAAAACCTGATTTATTAGCTCCAATGGGAGGAAGAGAAGAAGGAGGGGGAAAAAAATAAAATAAAACCAAGTTCCCTTAAAAATAATCCCAGGCTCCTTTGAAAGTGTCGTCACGTGTACATCGTCTGGGCGTCACGTGTACAAGCGCCCCATGTGTTTGCAGGGTGGGGAGGGGTGATGTCTAAGAGGGTCTGACATTTTTGGCAAGCCAGGAAGAGGAGGGGAGGGGAGAGGTGGCTAATGAGGTCCAAGTGTTTCCAGGTGATCATCAAGGAGCCGTGTCGAGCCCACACGTCTTTCTGCAGATCCTTTTGGGGTATCAGAAGAGCCCGGTGGTTTTCTTTTTGAGGGATTTAACGACGTGGCCCAAGAAACAAAGCAGCCGCAAAAGCGAGTGGGGAAAGGGGGTCAAGACGGTGTCAAACAGGGGTATCAGATGCAACCTCCCAGCCGCCTCCACGCGATGGGTTAGACACCCCGGACGCATCCATACGTGCACATTTACTCTGCAGAAACCAACAGTAATGCTCAGCACAGGCACACGTCTACACGGGTACGCGTACTGCACAGTAACACAGCTTGAGCACAAATCTGAGCAGCATGCAGGTGTCAAATTTATGCCCGATTAGCTACTACGCAATAACACACGTGTAGACGCCCTACGTGCAGTAACACTCTGTGCGTGGGCTGACTTGGGACTCAAGCTAGAAACACTTGGACCTCGTTAGCCACCTTTCCCCTCCCTTCTTCTCCTTCCTGGCTTGTCAAAAATTTCAGACCCTCTTAGATGTCCCGTCCCCGCTACCCTGCAAACACACGGGGCGCTTGTACACGTGACGCCCAGACGATGTACACGTGACAAAAATTTCAAAGGAACATGGGATTATTTTTAAGGAAACTTGGTTTTATCTAACTAACTTGAGTTCCAAGTTAGTTAGATAATGCGCTTTAACACCAGCGCATGTAGACCCGACCTATTCCCACTTATTGCGCAGTAACTTAATGCACAGTAAATTTAAGCCGGAGTAAATCCACGTGTAGACACATCCCCACAGTATAAAAGCGAGCAGCCTGGTCTTGATCCGGTCCCACTAGAACGTTACCTTTTGATCTCGTTTGAATTCGTTAATATATGTTGAGTCATACCGGGTTGTTGGGTTGGCGGTGGCCGTCCCTCAGTGAGAGCACCCTACTCGTAGTCGGGTCTTGTGGTGGCTTAAGAGTGAAATGTTTGAACCCCACCCACGGAGGTGGCAGGTCTTTCCGCAGGGGAAAGTCAGCCGTAGGCCAGGATTTCTTTCCTCTCCCTTCTTCCGCTCTCTCTTCTTCGTTTCCATATGGACTGTCTCCTCCTCACTTAGTAGGCTTGGGGATTTTCCAGGGGCATCGTTAGGGGTACCTCTCCAGGCTCTCGGGATGCAGCTGGTCAGTCACCCATGTTTCACATCCGTAGGCTGGGGTCAACTCATTGTAGACCCAGATCTCGGTGTCTTTCTGGAGATCACGATGAGTACAGACCCGCTGAAGCAACATGGGATGGGAGCAGGGGCATTAAGCACCCACGTCCTAGGAGGGGCACGAGAATCCCCCACACGGATGTGACACACTCACTGTCTGGACCCCAAACAAAAGGCAGCCCCTTGGGATGACTTCTCCAGCCCCATGGGGTCCCCCGTCTTGATGCCTTGTCCCCTTACAGTAAGCAAAGGACCAGGGAGTGGGAAAAGGCCAGCTCGATCCAGAGTCAGGATGTCCCCACGGAGGGGGATTCGAACCCACACCCCTTCCTAATCCAGACCCACTGGCCCAGCTGAGCAGGGAAGAAGCCGGGGATTGATTGATGACCTCGGGCAGCTCCAGGCACAGACAGGTGGGAACGAAAGGAGCCGCGAACGCCCGAGATGAAACGATTTGCTGGGGTCTCCACGCCGTCATGGCTCGGGGTATAAGCCCCCCCCGAACTGCACTCTGTGTCCGGCCAAAGCTTTGATGGGGAAACCCGAGCCAGCTTTCATCCCAGACTCCTCTCCCGTGGCTTGGCAGAGCCCCCGTGCCTAGGAGGGGTTGGGTGCCGGCTCGCGACTCGCTGGGACCTAGCCCCCGGGGACCCGTCTCCCCTTCCTGGGACCAAATCGAACACCTCGGAGGTCACGACCTGTAATTCATGTCCACCTGAAAAACCACGTGGCCAACCGCCAGCTCATCGTGACACAGCCCGGCACCCCTGTCCAAACCCACTTGATCTTGGAGTCCCCTTCTATTGAGCCCTATCAGGCAACAGGCACATCCTGAAGCATTGAGATTTAAGGGCCTTTAGACCTGGCTGCATGGTTAGCTTAAAACTGTGGTTAAAACATGCACCCAGTAAAAAAAGCAACTCAAAAAAATACCGTTCCTCACTTACATTAAAAAGTTGGCCAACTACATTAAATCAGTATAACCGGGGCAAAAAAGAAATAGTGCAAGTCAAATTTACGCCCACTTAAAAATAAAAAGCATAGCTTCAAATAAGGCAGACAAGGTTCTTTGGGTAAATCTGGTATCTTTTATTAGACCAACTCAGATAGTTGGAAAAATTCTTCTTAAAGAGCTTTCAGGCACAAACACCCTTCGCCAGGCTGAGGAAGCGTCTGCAGATGGTCTTAAAATAAAAAAATTTAGTTCAAGATAACCATATTTGGCAAACAGAAGCAAAATTATTCATCTGCATTAGAAGAAAGGCTTAAATTAGTTTTATGTATTAAAAAAGCAAGTTTTGTGGTATATACTGCAACAGTGGGGCAGGAAGCTGGGCGCCATGCCGCTGCGCAGCCAGCGGCACGAAAATACCGCTCCTCCCCGCAAGGAGCGACCACGCAGTCGCTGGGTACCTGTTTATACAATTAAATGCCTGCGCAATAACGACAGCGCAGTTACGACAGTGCAGTGGGCACATCCACACGTGCCTTTACACCGGCTTAAATTTACTGCGCAGTAAATTACTGTGCAGTAAGCAGGAATAGGCCGGCATCTACACGTGCATTACTGCACAGTAATTAATTGGGCGTAAATTTGATACCTGTATGACACAGGTATCAAACTTACGTTCAAGTCAGCATAAGTCACCATACTGACTGCACGATACGGGTGTGCACGTGTAGATGCGTGCCTGTAACGCGCAGTCATTTTGGTTACTGTGCACATGAAGACACACTGGAGTCAGACGCCTCCAAGACCGAATGAAGAAGGGGGGCTGGACTGTGGGTGCGACCACCCGGGACTGCGGCACTTGCAGTGATGCCCGCGGCTCGGCAGCGTGTGTGCAATGAATGGCCTCGCCAAATACAAGTAACGGGCACACGCATGTGTAACACAGCGGTCAGATGTGGTGCAGAGACAGAAGATGACGACGACCTGAACCGGGGACTCGGGTGAGCCCCAGTAGACAGACAGGAGGTGCCAGGACTCCTGTCGGAGAGGAGGGAGATGGAGATGGGGGTAGGACTCATGTCCCAGCTTCATCCTTACAGCTTTTTTTGGAAAATCCCCCCCCCAGCACCAGCCGCAGTTTAGGAGAGAGGTTGGGGTCTCGGCTGCACCCCAGGCCTCCCGGAGGGGGCTATTTTGATGGGTTCATCCCCCGCCCCCCCGATTAAAATAACCCACAGCAGAGCAAATGCACTGGGGCCGGGGAGGCTGAGCACAGCTCAGCGCTGCTCCCCGCACCCGGCTTCCCGTGACAGATCCTCCGTGGCCCCATCAATAACCAGGCGGCGCGAGGGGCGATCCATCACGGTGATGGATTCCTTCTCGGCGCGGCGGCCGGCAAGAGGCAGCCGGAGAAATTGGATGGCGGCTGCTGCGCCGAGCTGGGGAGGGAGATGGGGGTGGGGTGGGGGGGTCCCGTCCTGGGCTCAAGCCCAGCGCTGGGAGCCGGGGGGTGGGGGAGAGGATGCA